TGATAGAGAGTACATTTATATACATGTTTAAGCCACAATGATTTGACGTTTGAATATAACTTCCCTACGACTTTAACATGAACTATGGATGATGATCGGCTTTCATGAAGGTATGGTTGAAAACTGATTGGCCCGTGACGGAGGTGGATAAAGGTAAGTAATCGTTCCTTCAGTTGAACTTCCGCCTAGACTCCATTTGTCTGTAAAGGTCTGAGTTAGAGTCTTAAATTCAGTCGGCAAAAGTCTGGAACTTTCTCTAAGTTCCTCTCTGTAAAAGGTTAATATGTCATGTCTTTCACATGTGAAATAATGAGCTCCATGTTGTTATATCTGCTTAATGAGTGCATGAACTTAATGTTCATGTTCTGTGTTTTTCAGATGAAAATGAGTGAAGAGGCTGTCAACATGCAGAAGTTTGCTTACAAACCCAAAGGAACGCTTCCCTCTGTCTCCTGGTATTTGCCTTTCACTCACCTATTCCTGCAGGGCGAATAGAACCAATCAGAGGGGGTTATTTCTGGGCCAGTATTTAAAAATATCCTCAGAAAGTATGGAGGGAATTCTGTTCCAGCATTAATGCAGGCAAAGAACGTGCTTTGCACATTGAAATGTGGAAAGTTGGAAGTTGAAAACAAAAAAAAATTTCTTTTTTTTTGCTGTCATTTCGATTTGTTCTGTTTTTTTCTATTTTCTATTTCATTTTTTTTTAAATATACATATTTTTACAAACTCACCTCATTGCATTTTATAGATCACATTCCTTTCAGTTTAAGCACAATACAAAGTTGACCGATAAAAATGTCGTTAACTTCAATGTTGACCAATAGAAATGCGTCTTCGCTCGTCAACCCAGAGGCGGAGAAAATGTGATCTATTTACCATAATTTTAACAAAATGAAATTTATAAACGTCAATTTGAAAAATAGAAGTTTGAAAAAAAAAAAAACTTTACAAAAAATGTACAAAAAAGAAAATAAATATATGAAAAAGACGTTTGAAAATGATTTCTGAGAAAACTTCTGATTAATTTCTGATTAAGAAGTTACTTTCTGGTTTGCTTTTTTTTTTTTGCTTGTCAACAATAATGGAACAAATGTGACGCCATAGATACGGTCCCTAATCATTGAACATGGTTCAGCAATTCAGCTTATTTTAATCAGTCGTTAGAAATAATCAGGGATTTGTGTGTAAATAGTTTTAATGGTTAGAAGGCTGGTTTGCAACATCTTAATGGACCGTAGACCAGAAACCATAAGAAAAAATAAAACTAGAGATTATTAGACTACAAAATAATATACGATCTTTATTTCTTTATTGGGTTGAATTTATTCTAATCGAATAAGCTGGTGTGATAGAAATGTCTTCTCCATCTGCAGCTGTAGTAGATCTTTGTTTTTCTTACTTAAATCAGATTTATTTTATTTTGCTAACTTTAAGACACTGTCCTCTATATTTTGTATTATTTTGTATTTTTAGTTAGAGCGTGCTCTTTAATATTTCTATTTATTTCTGTATGTTTGCTGCTCAGGCGTGCAGAAAATGCGTTCAGAGCTGCAGACCCTGAGCTGAAAGCGGCAGACTGCGCTCAGCTGCCTGATGTTTTTTGTCTGGATGATCTTGACCGAGGTAAACAAACTGCAGCCTTAACCTTGTTTTCAACTCGATACATTTTCAGACAGAACATGAGAGAATAGAGAAACGGTGACGGATGTGGTTGTTGCCGACTGGTAGCTCTCAGTAAGGGTTTGTGTACAC